ACTCTGAAAAACAAACTGAGGGTTCTAGAGGGGAGGAGGGTGGGGGGATGGGTTAGCTTGGTGATGGGTATTAAAGAGGGCACATTCTGCGTGGAGCACTGGGTGTTATGCACAATGAATCATGGAACACTACATCAAAAAGTAATGATGTAATGTATGGTGATTAACATAACAATAAAAAAAGAGTCTGTTTCTTGGTTTGTCTGTCTCTCTCTTATTTTTTTCCCTTTGCTTGTTTGTTTTGTTTCTTAAATTCCACATATGAGTGAAATCATATGGTATTTGTCTTTCTCTGACTGCCTTAGGAATATTATTCATCCATTTAAAAAAATGAAATCTTGGGATGCCTCGGTGGCTCAGTTGGTTAAGCATCTGCCTTCTGCTCAGGTCATGATCCCAGGGTCCTGGGATCGAGTCCCACATTGGGCTCCCTGCTCAGCAGGAGACCTGCTTCTCCCTCTGCCTGCTGCTCCCCCTGCTTGTACTCTCACACTCTCTCTCTCTGGCAAATAAATAAATAAAATATTTTTAAAAAATGAAATCTTGCCATTTGCAACAACATGGATGGAGCTAGAGAGTATAATGCTAAGTGAAATAAGTCGGTTCCTTTCTTTTTTATGGTTATCACCACTTTTTAAATGGAAAAGCTGAACCTGGAAAGACTTAGTAACTCAACCCATTAAGATGCCACAACCAGTTTAGATATGGAATGGGGATGGATTCAAATCTGGCTCTTTGACTCCAGACCCATGTTTTTTAACCTCTACACTATTCTGTCTCTCAAAGGCTCTAAGGTGAGAGCGTGTCTGGAACATTCTAAAAGTAAGGAAACCATTGTGGTCAGAACAGAGTGAATCAAGGGAGAGTGAGATCAGTGGAATAATTGAGGCCAAATTGTATAGGGCCTTGTAGGTCATTGTAAGAATTTGACATTTTACTCTGCATGAGATGGAAAGATTTTCAGAAGGGGTGGGTAAAGTGATCTAATATGTTTCTTATATAGATCACCTAAATACTACATTTAGGAGAAAATTAAGTTTTGAGCTTTTATACCTTTTTGCTTGAAAGTAGCAAAGGTCAAAAATGAATACAAGTATCACAAAGCTAGATTGAGTGGCCCTTTAACAGCTATGAACAGAATGCCCAGGAGAAAGTATTTTGTGATCAGCAGTGAAATAAAATATAAGTGGGTGTGTTCAGGGATCAACACATTTTGATGAAATCAGATGGGAAAAAGAAGCAAAATAATAATAGTAATATTTTGTCTTGGGAAATTAATCTAAAGGCATTTCAGTAGAGTTTATGAGTTGTGACATAAGGAAGAATAGAATTTTAATGTAAACACTGTGAAAGGATCAATAGAGAATCAAGTTGACCTTGAGAATGAGACGATAAGGAAAATATTGTCATCATCTAATAAACAGAGTTAAAATAACACATTAAGCCATTGTTCGCTAACTGCAACAGCTGGAGAAGTTGAAGGGTCTTTGACATCTGGAGCAGGAAAGAGAAAATAGTTTATTTAGATGCATCATCCATTTAGATAAACTTGAATACTAATAATCCATTTACTGTAAGAGTAAGGCAGAGATAGAGATGGCTACCACTTGGAAGGACATGAGGGAAAGAAGATGTATGATATTTATTTAAAGAAATTACTATTGATGCTTTTTACAGTTGAGAGAGATATTGAGGGGAAATGTCTGGCAATGTTTTTCCTCATAAATATTCTTTCACAAAGGCAATTCTGAAATATCAGATGGAGTACTTGGATGGAAAGCTTCACTCAAATTTAATTAAGCATGGGGACGCCTGGGTGGCTCAGTTGGTTAAACGACTGCCTTTGGCTCAGGTCATGATCCTGGAGTCCCGGGATCGAGTCCCACATCGGGCTCCCTGCTCAGCGGGGAGTCTGCTTCTCCCTCTGACCCTCCCCCCTCTCGTGTGCTCTCTCTCTCTCTCATTCTCTCTCTTTCAAATAAATAAATAAAATCTTTCAAAAAAAATTTAATTAAACATGATTTCAGGTACAACATAGAACCAGAAAGGCTTCATGCTTAGTTCTCTACCCCCTCACTTTTGTAAATAATTTCTGCCTCCATTATAGCGCTATACCAAATGGAAATGTCTCTCTTTGGCATCTTGAATTTTTCATTTCTCCTTCCCAAGAAATAAAGAGAATTAAATCTAATGCTCTAGCCTTGTTATCAAGAGAACAATGAGTTTACAAGCTCCAGTACAGTACAAAGAGTTGATATTATTAAATTCTGTTCACCCCACTGGTAACAAACAAATGAACCCATGTTGTCTAAAGAGAGTTTGGCATATTCTGCTCAACCCTTCTTATGGAGGAAACAATACTCTGTGACCTTGAGAACTCACTATTTCTCCCACAAACCATAAATGCATCTCCAAGTTATCTCGTCCTACAAGCCTCCACTCAACGTAGAATTATGCTATCTCTAAGATACATGGAATTTCTACCTTTAACGAAGACTCCTGTCTTCTCAAAGAATAAGGGCTCAACAAGTTACTTCCAAAGTTCTACAACTCTTAGGAGACAATCTGAGCAGGAATACTAAAACTTTGCTCTTCTAAGTCTCACACTTGTACCATGAAATGAATAGATGCTTTTTCTTTGACTAGATTGTAATTTTCCCTTATTTTTGATAGCAGGTATAGGAGCAAGTCCATATATTCCTCAATTTCACTCATATAATATCATGTCCGCAAATAATATGCAAAGTCCAGAGCCAATCTCTAAAACAGTACGGACTTATTCCCCTGAGACCTGGATCTGGGATTTGGTAGTGGTGGAGTAAGTACCTTCATTCTCCTCCATTGGCTGTGGGTGAGTGAACATGGGTCCTCCAGCATTTTCAACTCTAGGATAATCTTTCTGAGAAATTCTAAATAATCATCTAACCTCTCATCCTTTCAGGATGGGCCTAAGAAAATGCTTTTATTGTTTGGATTCATTAGTAAAATTGTCTCAGAGATGAGCAATTCTAAAAGAATTATTCCTGAGACTGCCAGAAAATAGACATGGGTACTAAAAGTATCCAAATGCTAGATTGCCTAATGCCATTGGGGGAGCCTTCCATAAACAAGATTAGAACATGCACATAAACACATCAAGCTATGTAAATGTAATGGTTTGCTTTATGGATCATGATTCTTAAGTATGCTGGTTTATGAGATCACACAACAGTGAGGGGAGTTTAAGGACCAAACTGAATTACATTCAAATATTTTTCTTTAAGGTACAGACATGTTGATAAGGGAAAGAGGCAGCATTTAGTACCTTTTGTTTTCCCAACTCAGTTTCCCAATACATAACCTAGTGTACACATGTGCACATATTGATTCTCACTTAAGAAGAGATGTTTCACCTGCTCACTTTCTGTTCTTCACATCTCTATCTTCCCCAGCTCCTCAGGGGTGGCCGAAGTGGGAGTAACAGTCCCTGATACCATCACGGAGTGGAAGGCAGGGGCCCTCTGCCTGTCCAATGACACTGGACTTGGTCTCTCTCTTCCCGCCTCCCTCCGAGCCTTCCAGCCCTTCTTTGTGGAGCTCACAATGCCCTACTCTGTGATCCGAGGAGAGGCCTTCACACTCAAGGCCACCGTCCTCAACTACCTTCCCAAATGTATCCGGGTAAGGAAAATGAGAGTGGATTGAAAGGGTGGATAGAATCAAAGACTTCTTTGGTCCCTCAGCTCCCGATTCTGTTCCCAAGACTGTGGATAATTCTGGGAATTATGCACTAGCACTGTTTGTGCTAAGCAAGCAGGACATGATCAGAAAAGTAACACAGTGACGTCTGAGCTACAGGTACTGAAATCATGGATCTCCAAATCACATGCATTTTTTTAAATTTTTTATTGGTATGTTAATCACCATACATTACATCATTAGTTTTTGATGTAGTGTTCCATGATTCATTGTTTGTGTATAACACCCAGTGCTCCAT